AGTTCTAAAAGAAAAATTATAAGAAATTCTTATGGGTGTACAAAATGCCCTGAACAGCTCAGGTTTCTTAAAGGATGTGCATGATTAATAGATGAAAGGAACACATAATCATCACACAGTTATACAGTGCTAAGATTTTAAGAAATAAACATTTAAGAATTTTCAAAGACCAAAATTTAAAACGAGCTGAGATGCCTCAGAGTGCACAAAGAACTTTTAAGGTTGTCTTTGGAGCAAGAGCAGCAAGAGGGAAGGGATAGCTCACTATCTGAAGAAGATATTCTTAATGTTTCTTTACAGGTAAAAATCAGACCTATACAATTCTTACTTTGCTTCTGTAATCCTGCAGTAGCAGAAATCCTTTTCCCATAGTAAAAGGTAAAACAAACAACCCGAAACAGAAGAAATTAAACAAACAAACAAAAAATATGAGAAGATGGAGTATCATTCACTTTAAATGAATTTAAATTTTCAAGACCCAAATGAATTGCCTCCCAGGAGTTGATGGACTCAGGTATAATCTTAGGGTTATTGTCAGTATTTTTTAATTTTTTTTAACAAAATCAGTGAGAATATGGGATAAATACTTGGAGAGAGGAGAGAGACAAATGTCCCAGTTTCCGAAAAGGAATAAAGTATATTGCAAAAACCCAAGACCAGTTCCCTACTTTAAACTGTGGTAAAATTGGAAGAGATTGTAAAAAAATGAAATATTGTGTTTAGAAGAGAAGGAGATGATCACTATGAATCAATATGAATTTATAAGAATAAGACATGCCAAACTGACCTCATTTTTTTTTTTTTTTTGCTTTATTTTCAGTTTTATAATTGCTACTGAATTAGAGAATAGTAAAGACATGTTGTATCTTGACTTTAGCCAAGTGGTTGACAATGTTTCCTTATCTATCCTTGTGGAAACATGATGAAATTAGATTGTAATTAGATTGATTTACAGCTGCTTGCCTGGCCATCCCCATGCCAGCATGCCCAGGGTTTAGTTAAATAATAGTTACTTTATATACTGGTTCCTCACAGAGAACTGGTGGTGAACATTAATTTGCATATATTCAGAAAGTATGGATTTGTAGTTATTAGTTTTTTTAAGGATTTGTATGTTGAAACTTGAGTAACTAGATTTATTCATATGATTGAGGTTTCTGTTAGGGACTTTTTTCCAACCGAGCTGTATTTGTAAGATATATAAATCTGTTTTTAATTTATGTATGTAACCTTGACTTATAAATTACTTAGAAGTCAAGGCATAATATTAACATTTAGAGCAAAGTCTGACTATGTTAAGAATGCTAACCTTATGAGGAATCTTTTCTTTGTTCAGTAACAACTATATTAAGCTCACTTGGATGTTTTTCATACCTTTGAAATGTCATTCCTGTGAACTATCCCTAAATAAAAGGCAGATGTTCATATACAACTTGATAGTACAGATATACTCAGCAGTGTCTTTTTGAGTCAGTGTGTCTGTTGGCCTTCTGGTAATCCCACAGTCAGCTGCCTGTTCAAGATATTTACATATTTTTAAAAACAATACAAATTCCCTGGAATCATATCAAAGAGAGAACCATATATTTTGTCCCCTTAGGAAGTTCTTTTGGCAGTCCATGATAACTGCTACATCCAATTTTTTTTTTAAATTATTTGTTACTTTTAGAGAATGCAAACCCATAGTTAACTTATTAAACTTTCATCATAATTGGTATTTCTTTGGTGCTTGTAATATTTTGCCTCTAGCCTCAAAAAAGTGTGATGACTTTTTTGAATACTTGCAGATGTTTACATAAAATATCACAAGTATTTATTTATTTGTTTATTTTTGAGACAGAATCTCATTCTGTTGCCCAGGCTGAAGTGCAGCAGGGCGATCTCGTCTCCCTGCGACCTCTGCCTCCCAGGTTCAAGCGATTCTCCTGCCTCAGCCTCTGGAGTAGCTGGGATTACAGGCACATATCACCATATCCTGCTAATTTTTGTATTTTTAGTAGAGATAGGGTTTAACCATGTTGGCTAGGCTGGTCTCGATCTCCTGACCTCAAGTAATCCAACTGCCTCGGCCTCCCAAAGTGCTGGGACTACAGGCATGAGCACCCGGCCAAAATATCACACTTACAAAATTGTCCCTCACACTTTTCTTTGCAACTGTTCATCTCGGTGTTACATCTAGAATCCCAGTGGAAGTGAAGGATGAAAAAAAGAGTGCAATTCCAGCCTTGGCCTCTCAGTCTTAAGATCTTGTAGGCCCTTGAAAGAAGAATTGAGGCCCTGCGCGGTGACTCAAGCCTGTAATCCCAGCACTTTGGGAGGCCGAGGCGGGCGGATCCATGAGGTCAGGAGATTGAGACCAACCTGGCTAACAGGGTGAAACCCATTTCTACTAAAAATACAAAAAATTAGCCGGGCGTGGTGGCAGGCGCGTGTAGTCCCAGCTACTCGGGAGGCTGAGGCAGGAGAATGGGGTGAACCCAGGAGGCGGCGCTTGCAGTGAGCCGAGATCGCGCTACCACACTCCAGCCAGGACGACAGCGTGAGACTCCGTCTCAAAAAACAAAACAAAACAAAACAAAACAAAACAAAAATTGAGTTGTTTCAATTATTTTGCCTTAAGAGACCCATTATGCTGTATTTCTGATTTTATTGTGGCTTTGTCCTTAATTATATCTAATTTAATGGTTGTTATTTTATACACTAAAATACAATCTGAGTTTTTAGCATTTTATAGTTATCTTTGTAAGTTATACCATATCTGACAGTAAAGCTTCAAATTTAAAAAAAAGGAAATCGTGAGTTAATAAAACAAAATATTGAGTCAGATTGTCTTTTTAAATTATTCATGTATTATCTTTTATCCAAATTAAAATTGTTGTATATTTTATACAAAATATGTTGTACAGCAGATTTTTAGATGTCAGAGCCTATATTATGTTATTTTTAAGTGGGGAAAAAACAATGATGCATTCTCTGTCCATTCAAAAACTCTAACCAAACTTCCCCAAGTATCACAAAACACCTTTAGGCAACTATATAACGATTTGCCAAAACTTTTTAATAACATTTACAAAGCATTTGAGACATCTCTTACCTGATTTTAAAAATACTTAATGAATTCATTATTTGGTATATATTTGTTCAGTAAGCAATGAGACTATGCAATATTGATTATAAATTAGCATTTTATTCTATCCAGTGATGAATAGTATACTGTACTATTCTGTATTATAAATTTTAAAAATGAAATAATATTATTTTTATCTAAATAATACTTGGGTTAGTGGGATCCCTAAATGCTTAATAGAAACAATCTCTGGGACCAGAGATTATTCTGTGTTCATCCTGGTAAATATCTTTCAGGTTTATTAAAATCACAAAGGCTCCCCCTTGCTCAGCATCTATTTTTGGCAAGACAAAAGAAGGATTTTTTAAGGTTTGTGTTTATTAGTTTAGGGTCTGAATATGTTTGCTGAACTTTTGACACACACTGATTTCCTGTTTATATTAACACTGTCTTACATAGGTTATGTTCATTTATACAGATGAGAAGAGCAAAAGAGGGAATTAGAAATGTAATATTGTGGAGTAATAGTTAAAAGAATTAGCTGATCTATAGTATTTGGTTTATCTAACCTTGTCATAAGTATGTTGCTCTAAATAAAATAGTATACTTTAATCAACTGTTCTTACTAGTAAAATAATCTATTTTGCTTTAGCATTGATTTTTTTCTAATTATCCGAAGCCTTGTCTAATGAACAGTGGTTTGGACTACTTGGAGTTTCATTTTAAGTTCAACCCTTAGTATAAATTCATTGCTATCAGATTTCTGCAATCCTGTTTTTTCTGCTTAATATTTCTTTGAGAGCCCTTATATTTCTCTATTTATTTCCCATTTTCCCCACAAATAATAGAAAATCTTTGACTTTCTTAATTATTCACATTGTATCTAGGAGTCAAGCAAGTGGACAGAAAATGCCTGTTCAATCTAGTGATAGGCAGAAGACCCTAAGGTGGGGCCAGTTTGCCCTTTTCGAAGATCAGAAAGATGGCCAAGCATAGGTGGAGCAGTGTTTGACAGTGGGAAGAGTGACCAAATTAGGATCAGAGATGGCTGGAGCCAGAACATGTAGGGCCTTCTAGTCCCTGTTCAGGATTTTAGATTTTGATGCAAGTACAAGATATCTTGGGGGACCCTAAACAGAGTAGTAATTATCAGATTTATGTTTTAAATCTCACTCTGGCTGCTAAGTGGTGGGCGGCAGAAAAGAGACAAGAATAGATGCCGATTAGAAGGCTGGGACAGAATTCCAGATGAGGAATCAGTGGGGGCTTAGATTAGGGTGGTGGCAAAGGAAATGAAGAAAAGTCAAGTATGTCTTGGAAGTAGAACCAACAAAAGTTGCTAATGGGTTGGATCTGGATGGGTAGAATGAAAAGGAGAAATCAAGGATGATTTCTAGGTATCGAGATTGTTTTGCAAGCTGATGGTGCCTTGTACAATAGGGAAAATGTTGGGGAGGAAACATTGGGGGCAGATGGAATTAAAAGTTCTGTTTTGGCTATCTGAAACTTGAGGTGTTTATTTGACTTCCAAATATATCTGCAATATATATGGATCAGTTTGATGAGTTTAGAGCTTGGCAGAGGTAGATCAAGGATGGAGACATGATATGAATGTGGAAGTTATCATTATATAGATAGCATTTAAAGCCATGGGACTAAATGAAATTACTCTGAATATTTTTGTCATTCTCTCTGACCTGTACCTTCTCCCTCCCTTACCATGTAAAATTATTCCCACATTATGTTGCAGGTACATATTTTAATTATAGTACCTATAAATAATTTGGTTATATTTTCTTTTTAGTAAAATACTCTGATTCCTTTATCCTGTTCATAGCTAACTGGTTTAAGAATATTCAGTTACTAGCTTCTATATTTAAGTGAACGTCTAAAAATTATGCATTTATTTTCTGTTTTTTTGTCTTTGCTCCAGGCAAAGTCATTAATAAAGATTTGCGGCATTACCTAAGTCTTCAGTTTCAAAAAGGATCAATTGACCACAAACTGCAGCAAGTGATCAGAGATAATCTCTACTTGAGAACCATTCCATGTAAGTATGTGATGGAATAAAAGAACTGAAGCAGAAATGTCCTTTCTTAACTAATTAAACATCTATAGATAGTTTGATAGAGTATTTCACATGAAATTGTGAAGACTAAATTGGGAGCAAAAATGAACAAAATTGGATAAGAAGAAAAATTTTCAGAGAACTTGAGAGGTTTTGTTTTTAAAAGTAGAAAAACTGGGCCGGATGCAGTGACTCACACCTATAATCCCAGCACTTTTTGAGGCCAAGGCAGGTGGATCACTTGAGTTCAGGAGTTCGAGACCAGCCTGGCCAACATGGTGAAACCTCGTCTCTACTAAAAACACAAAAATTAGCCCAGTGTGGTGGCAGGCACCTGTAATCCCAGCTACTTTGAAGATTGAGGCAGGAGAATCGCTTGAACCCAGGAAGTGGAGGTTGCAGTGAGCCGAGATCATGCCACTGCACTCCAGCCTGGACGACAGAGCAAGACTCTGCCTCAAAAAAAAAAAAAAAAAAAAGTATAAAGTAGAAAAACTGGAAGAGTCTATGTTGTGACTTTTAAAAAGTGATGACTAGAATTTAAGACTATGTAATCCAAGCACTTTGGGAGGCTGAGGTGGGCAGATCACCTGAGGTCACGAGTTTCAAACTAGCCTGGCCAACATGGTGAAACCCCATCTCTACTAAAAACACAAAAATTAGCCAAGCATGGTGGCAGGCACCTGTAATCCCAGCTACTTGGGAGGCTGAGGCAGGAGAATCACTTGAACCCAAGAGGCAGAGGTTGCAGTGAGCCAAGATCGCGCCATTGCACTCCTGCCTGCGCCATAACAGCAAGACCCCCATCTCGAAAAAAAGAAAAAAAGGAAATAAAAAAAGAATATATATTTACATGTTGTTAACTAGATTTTATTCCTGTAAATCGATTTGTAAAGCCTTATGCAGTAAGAAGACTTTTTAGCTCCCAATGCCTTGTATACCAAGAACAAGTATTTTATTAGAACGTTATTTTAAAATAATTTTAAAATCTGCCCCTTCCCCAACAAGAAAAAAAATTAAAAAAAAAAAAGAAGAAGGAAAGGAACTCTCTCTTACTTGGAATAATTTTTTTTCCCTCCCTCCCTGGCTTCCTCCCTTCCTACCTTGACTATGTAGTGGCAAAGAGCTAAGTAAAGTTGAGTTCAAAATCTTTACTCTAGAATCTTACTGGCTACTTTACTTGGGCAAGTTACTTAATGTTCCTGGTCCTCAGAAACTCTATATATAGAATTAAAATAACAAGACTCACCTCATGTAGCTGTCACTAGGATTTAAAATGAGAGCATGTATGTAAAACTGCTTGGCCTAGAGTAGGCACTCAAGTAGTGTTTGTCCCCTTCTCCCATTCTAACTGGATCTCCTGCCTCTCATTTCACCTCAATTCAATCAATTTTTAAAGTGCACATTTCTCAGCACTATAGGAAAGGGAAAAAAATTTAAAAATAAAGTGGACATCCGATTCTTGTCCATCTATAGTTTATCCTTCAAAGATTTCCACTGACAAATCAAGTTCAGACTCCTTAGCATCGCATAAAATATTTTTTGTTTTTTTTAATCTGCCTCCTTATCTATGATTTCCTCCTACAAATCTGCCTTGTAGCTGCAGATCACAACTTCTGCCTTTATTTCAATTTGTATTTGCCTGATATGTCTTTGTCCATCTTGTTATTCTTAAAGTCTCTGAATCTCTGTTTTACAAATAGTTCTGGACTTTACTCAGCCAGTGTGAAACTTTTTACATTTTTATTGATGTGATCAATATCTTTAGCCTCAATTCTGTCATGGTTTTTATATTTACCATATATAAGCCTTTTGTATGAAAATCCTTTCACTATGTAGTCATCTGTCTCTTTTTAGAAAGGTTTGTAGGGATCTTTTTTTTTAATGGTTACCTTGATACCTTTATATAATAATCTTTGTTCCTCCCTCCCTCTTTTTTTGCTTCTGTCTCTACTATGAGTAATATTTAAATTACTTAGTCATCTCTTCTTTTTCCTTCCTTCTCTCCCATCATCTGACTTGAAGTAATACCTTTTTATTCCTACCAAATATAAGGTGATCAGTAAGCTTATTCCACTTTGCATATGCTTTCGTCATTCTTACCTTATTATTTTTTTTTTAATAGTTGGGCTGTATCTACATTGGCTAAGCAAATAGCCATTACATTACTGTAATTTCTTCCTTTATAATTATCATTTATCTTTTATTCTGTGGGTAAATACATATTTAATATAACCACCAATCCTTACGTTGTTATTTTTTCACTAATTGTAGTTGTCTAAAGCTTTTTCTTTACCCGATTTCCCAGCAAAGGCTCACAGGATCATCTTAGGATTTTGTTTGTGGCCTTTATACTTTGCTGTTTGTTTGGATGGATATAAAATTTTTGACTCATTTTCTTTCCTCGACTATCTTAAATGTATTAGTCAACTGTCTAACTGTTTTTGGCATAAAGCATTGCTCTTAAAGAGTTTGGTAGCAATCTAATTTTCATTTCTTTTTAAATAACTTGATATTTTTCCTGCATAGGATGTCTCATTTTTAGTTTCATAGCTCTAGAGCTTCCTCTTCCATTGTTAAAACAAGATAATAAAAATATGTACTTGTACTTTCTAAGATAGGTCTTTTTTTTTTTACTGCCCTCTGCCACTTTCACTTGAGTTTTTCTTTTAATTTTATTGTTCTAGTTTTGCAGTTTCCTCACTGTGAGGTTTTTATCCTTGAAGGGAGCTAAAATTTATTTTGTTTCATTTCATAGGGTCCAAGCAGCTGTAGCCCTTTTAGATCTCAATGGGCCCTCTTAACTTACACACAAATTGAAGTGTCCAAAGCTCCCTCTAGGAACCTAGACACAATGCCGCATCAGTAGCAGTTAGCATACTGAAGGGTCACATCTGGTCTCTAAATATCATACTTTCCTAAAAAGTTTGAGGTCTCCTTGGAGATAGTTCTGATTCTAGGTCTGGGGCAAGGAAAGTACACGATGAGCTTTGGAGCATGTAAGTGTATCAGAAAGTATATAGTGCTTAAAAAATTATAGAGACATACCAGGAGGACATAGAAGCCACCTAAAAGGAGGCTTACTCCAAAAATCTGAGACAATTTGAGCAACAGTGTTGAAAAAAGAGAGAGGGCACTTCTATTGTCAGATATTGAGCTGTAGGTGGAATGGGACTGTAATCCCTGAGAGAAGAAGAAAGGAGACCACACACAGAGGAATCCTATAATTTCCTCAAGTTTCTACTTAAAGGCACTTTCTGGACCACAGCACAAGGAGGGAGAGCCCAGGCAGAGTACAATGGACTCTGAGTTGAAGGGACAGAAATCTGAGTTCAAGAAGCCTGAGGTATCTGAAATTTGCAGGACAGAATGTCTCAGAGGAGACAGCTATGAAGAAAAAGAGCTCAAGCAATCTGTAAAGGCACCCCCTTGACTCTGTGGCTGAATACTAAGCTGAGAATATGTGGGACGAGACTCTTCAAGGTTAAACCAAAAAATCTCTTGGAGTTGTAAGTTTAACAATTCTCAGAGCTTACCCAGGGCCAGGAGACATTTGAGTTCTAATCAGCTTGGTGGAAGAATCCCATAAGACTCCTGCCTTACTAGCAGGGCTAAAATAGCCACAGATAAAGCTCCTCTAGGCCTGCTTTAACAAAGCTTAATTAAGCAAGACCCCAAAGGATCAAGTGAATATGCATGCAACTTAACTGCTAGCAAAAAAGGAAGAAAGAAGGAAAGAAGTAAATCAACACTCTTTAAAGAAAGACATTGGCCAGGCTCAGTGGCTCACGCCTGTAATCCCAGCACTTTGGGAGGCTGAGGCAGGCGGATCATGAGGTTAAGAGATCAAGACCATCCTGGCCTACATGGTGAAACCTCGTGCCTACTGAAAATACAAAAATTAGCTGGGCATAGTGGTGTGTGCCTGTAGTCCCAGCTACTTGGGAGGCTGAAGCAGGAGAATTGCTTGAACCCAGGAGGCGGAGGTTGCAGTGAGCCGAGATCGTGCCACTGCACTCCAGCCTGGCGACACAGTGAGACTCTGTCTCAAACAAACAAACAAACAATAAAATAGAAAGACAACAAAATGGAAACATTGTGTAACAGAATATTCAAAATGTCCAGCATCTAATAAAAAATTACTAGACCTGCAAAAAGCAGGAAAATGTGACCCATAATCAAAAGAAAAGTCAGCTGATAGAAAAAGGAAACAGAAATGACACATGATGGCAGGACTATACCAGCAATTTTAGTTATTAGAAATATGCTCAAGGATTTAAAGAACAATATGAACATAATGAAGAGAAAAATTATATATAAATATTCGTGTGTGTGTGTGTGTGTGTGTGTGTGTGTATATGTATATATGAATTAAGTGGAACCTTAAAAATTCACTGAATGGACTTAACAGAAGATTCAAAACTGGAGAAGAAAAGATCAGTGAACCTAAACACGTAGCAATATAAACTAATGAAACTGAAGCACAGAGAAGAAAATGACTGAGAAAGTGAAAACTTTCTGTTTTTTTGAGCAACCAGATGACAATGGGGAGGGGAGAGATTTCTACTTCTGCCATGAAGTACCAGTACCATAACTAGTACTAGATTTACCCTGTTGTCATAGACAACTAGAAATTGGATGAGGAATATGTAACAGCTGTTTTCAGACATTTAAATATAGGCAGAACAGGACTACGATGCATTTATATTTACCCATGGCAAACTATCAAGCCAAAGTGGAGGAAGGAGAAAAATACTTAAAGAAATAGTGACTGAAATTTTTCCAAATTTGATGAAAATAATAAGCGCACAGATCAAAGAAGCTTAATAGACCCGAAACAGAAGAAACATGAAGAAAACCATATCAAAGAACATCATAATTAGATTATAAAAAACCATTGATAAAAAGAAAATGATGCTGGGCATGCTGGCATGTGCCTGTAATCTCAACTCAGCAGGAAGCTGAGGTGGGTGGATCACTTG